ATATTGAAAATCGGAAGAATCGATAAATATTTGATGAGTTTTTGCCCTTGTTCTAAAAATCGTGTTCAAGTTTTAGTCTGTAAACACTCTAGAAGGCCCAACTCTTGACAGATTTTGACGAAACTTGGTAATATTTTTCAGTATCTCCCCAAAAAGTTCAAAAATAAATCATGCCTGTGGGCGTATATTGCCTTGCCTGGCAAGCTATCTTACATAGCGAGATACAATAGCGAGATATAAGAGATAATGCTCTCAGATCACCTGTTGCATGTGCAGTTTTGGCTGGGGAATAAAAAAAAAAATAAAAAAAATGGTCATTTCGAAAACAACGCAGAGCATTTTGCAATGTCACAACAGCTTCTAATTATCTGTCAAAAAGGCATTATTTCTTGAAGACTATCCTGTGATATGGAGATGTTTTTTGAGTAGGCTCTTTCGAGTTTGAAAGTTATATTATGTATAGAATTTATTTCATTTATATTTTTGACAGGTGTATACGCTGCTCCATTAGAAGATTGTGTTGCTGCTTTTATTGATGCTGTTCTGATATTTATACACAAATATCAGCGAAGTTGTACATTATCTGAATTACATTTGGTTAATAATGATATAAATATAGTCAGCATGGCTAGTACATTATTGCAATCTATTATGGATGGTGCTGACTTTGATCAGATGACTGATAATGCTGTTCAAAATTTTGAAATGAAGAATGTCAAAGATCCTTTTACACGAAGTTTAACTGCAACAGGGTAATGTTTATTATATCACTTTTTATATACGCCCACATGGAAATCTGGACGTATATTGCCGTCGCCCCTGTCCATCGATCTGTCCGTTCACATTTCTTGTAGGTGCGATAGAGTCTACAGTTTTTATCCGATCTTGATCAAACTTAGTATGCAAGTATATATTGATGAGATTTCGGTCGAGTTTGAAATTGGTAATAATTGGATGACCAGTTAATAATGTGGCTTGTAGGCGCAATAGAGACTACAGTTTTTATCTGATCTTAATCAAAATTGGCATTCATGTATATATTGATGAGATCTCAGTCAAGTTCGAAATTGGTAATAATCGGATAAATGGCTTCTTAGTTATTGCCCTTGACTTAGAAAAAAGCGTCAAATTAGGCACGACAGAGACTACAGTATACAATCTTGATGAAACTAGATATGCATGATTTCTGACAGCTGGTAGTGGGCCTTGGTTACCTTGCCTGGCAAGCTATCTCTATCTGGTCTTGATGAAACTTAGTATGCTTGCAGATATTGATAAGACTTTGGTATGCATGTATATATTGATGAGATCTCAGTCAAGTTTGAATTTTGTCATAATGGGATGAATGGTTTTAGAGTTATTGCCTTTGACTTCATAAAAGATAGCTTGCCAGGCCACTATCAGCTGTCAGAATTGATAACAAAGTCTGTAGTGGTTCAATATGTGAAACCAATCATCCAATTGTTACTTATTTCAAGCTTTACTCAGGTCTCATACCAACTTCATCATAAAACTGCTCCCTTTATCATGATTACAAGCGAAATTTTAAAGTTTTTACTAAGTCAAGGGCAATAACTCTGAAACCAATCATCCGATTATGACCAAATTCAAACTTGACCGAGATCTTATCAATATATACATGCATACTAAGTTTCATCAAGATCAAATAAAAATCTTAGCCTTTATCAAGGCAAATTTAACATGTTTTTACTAAGACAAGGGAAATAACTCTGAAACCGATCATCCGATTATTACTAATTTCGAACTTGACCAAGATCTCATCAATACATACATGCACACCAAGTTTCATCAAGATCAGATAAAAACTGTAGACTCTATCTTGCCAACAAGCCAAATTTCACGCATTTTTACTAAGTCAAGGGCAATAAATCTGAAACCGTTCACCCGATTATTACTTATTTTGAACTTGACTGAGATCTCATCAATACATACATGCATACCAAGTTTCATCCAGATCAGATAAAAACTGCGCCTACAAGGCAAATTTGACGCGTTTTTACTAAGTCAAGAAATGTGAACGGACGGGGGCGACAGCAATATACGTCCACATTGCCATGTGGGCGTATAAAAACGCTTCAAATTTGGCTTGTAGTCATGATACAGTGTGCAGTTTTTATCTGATCTTGATGAAACTTAGTATGCATGTATGAATTGATGAGATCTCGGTCAAGTTGAAAAATTGTAATAATTGGATGAATGGTTTTTGAGTTGTTGCCCTTGAATTAATTCAATGTTTCTAATTTGGCTTGTAGGACTAATAGAGATTACATTTTTCATCCGATCTTGATGAAACTTGGTATGAGACTTTAGTAAAGCTTGAAATTAATAACAATCGTATATTTCACATATTAAACCACTACAGATTTTGTTATCATTTCTGACAGCTGATAGTGGGCGTATGTTACCTTGCCTGGCAAGCTATCTTTTTATTTAATGTGCATCTAATTCTAAGGTTAACTGGTGAAAGGAATGGTTATCTTAGCTTTTTGGTTGGTTAAGTTAAACTATGCTTGTAAACCCATAGAATTGCATTATATATTGAATTATTAAATATTAGAATTGTCAGTCTTCTGAATATGTATGAAGATTATTGACTGAATATATCTTTATATCATTAAATCAGGGCTTCTGGTGCCCGGCCTAAAGACGCTATTGGTGGAGGAAGTATGAGAAGATGTTCATCAATGGATTATATAAACCAAGATCCAGGTGTATATGGTAGAGAAACCAGCAGTAAGAGTTATGATTTTGATAAAATGGATATGACTGATGCTGCTGGTATGTAGTGCTTCAGATAATAGTGTAGTTTATTTACAGAAACAACTAAATCTTACACGTATAGAAACCTCCCTGAGGAGCTGTCTTCCAGCTGTTCCATAGCAAAAACTCATAAGCAGGCCAGTCTTTAGACTGTAACTGAACTGGCTAAATTAAAAATAAAAGGTAATAAAAGCTAATTGAATTTTGGTATAATTTATTAATTAGTCTGTGATTATCCATACCAATTTACAGCTGATTGGAAAAAGTAACTATTTCAAGGCCTCTTTTACACACAAGACTACTATTTGTACAAAGTTTATAAACAGATTAATAAAAATTCCAACACTGAATCCGACTGAGCTTAGTTCTATTTTAAAGATTTGGAATGATAGCCTAATATATTTATATTTACTGAATTTCGTTATACAGTAGATTAATGCCAGTTTTGAAGTTATTCTTAATGTCATAAATTGATAATTTGTTAAATATGATGATGTTGGGTTCTAAGTTTCATATCTGCTGCTTTTTATCACTTGTCTTATTTTATGTATTTAAGGCACATCATCAAATATCCGTCCTCAACGCTCTGGATCATTCAGTTCAACTCCTAAAAGATTCTCTCAGCCACAATCTCCAAAACTATCAAGTTCAAGAGATTTAGCATCTCATTCTACTTCACGTTATACTTCTGATCAAAGACCAATATCTCAACGTACCAGTGGTGCAGCTAAAACATACTCCTTACACGATTCTAATACAACAGCTTCTTCTATCTCACAATCTTTGAAGAAGAATATATCTCAATACAGTGGTAGAAGTCCAAGAAGTTCTGTGTCACCAATGAAAGCCTTACCATCTGAACATCGGACTGAGACTAAAAGGTCTAAAGGTGAGATCAAGTCATTGTTTCTTCTTATACACCCATGTTATAATGTGTTTTAAGAGCACAAAGGCCCCCTTCCTCAGGGACAGACACACATGAAATGTCAGTTGAAGTTCAATGATGTCACTTTCCTTAGTAGTTGCTAAGTAACATTCCAACTTTCTTCTCCTGGTAGGATTCATAAAATAATAATCGTTCAATAGCCTAGGCTAATAAAGTGGGTCTAAAAGTTTAAGAAAGTGTTCAATGAAATTTTGAGTTATTGCCCTTGACTTAATAAAAACGTGGCAAAATTTGTTTGTTTGAGACTACTAACTGCTTTCAATTGATTTGGACAAAACCTGGCATGACTGTTTGTTATCACTCAAGGATAAACCCTTTTGAAAATCATAAAAATCGAAAAAATATTTATTATGAGGTATTGCCCTTGTTCTTAAAAATGCGTTCAATCTTTAGCTCGTAAACATTCTAGAAGGGACAATTCGTGATGGATTTTGACGAAACTTGGTGAAATCTAAATGTGTTTCATAGGAGTTATTGGCCTCGTTCTTGAAAACGCTTTCAAATGTTAGCTCTTAAACACTAAAAGGCATGATTCTTGCCGGATTTTGACAAAACTTGGTATTATTCAGTACCAAACTGAATATTTGCCTTCTAGAGTTTTCACGAGCTAAAAATTGTTTATCTGTAACAATAAGATCTTTGTCAAGTTCAAATTTGACTATTTTTTAATCAACGTTTTTTTAGTTATTGCCCAAGACAATTGAATGGAATTTGGGTTATGGCCCTTGACTTAGTAAAAAAGAGTCAAAATTTGTTTATGAATAATATGTAGACTATAAAGATTTCATTAATGATACATTTTACGTTAAATGTAGCTTGTGAACGTGATAGAGGTAACAGTTTATGTCAGAATTTTTGTGTTTAAATCAAAAATATCTTTGACAAGTTACAAGTTGTATATAGTGAATTTTGAAATTGAACAGATGTCTGAAATTAGCTCTACCAGAAGAGAGTTAATTTTGATTTTTAGTTCTATGACAATTTTACAACAACTTAACATGCCAAATGGACTATCCTTACATTCAGAATGTTGTTAGTCTACTCATGTACATTTACTACCAATTTCATGGGGTTCTTTTTATCAACTACATGATAAATGAGACTCAAAACACCATGAAGTTATAAAAAGTGATATGACTGAAACAGCTCTGTCAGCTGATAAAGGATTTTGATGTATAACTTTTCAAAATAAAATATATTTGCAGGGGGAATGAGTGGAGCTGTATCAAGATCTGTAGCTGATCGACTGTCTCAAACAAGGTCTGTAGATAGTATGACCAGTCTTCCAGTAGATTTAAACAAAGAACTAGCCCGCAGAGCAAATGATCCACAGACTGAAACATGTGGAATTTGTTTAGATGAAATATTGGACCCAAAGGTTTTAGATAAATGTGGTCATAAATTCTGTCAAGGTTGTGTAAAGCATGCGTTTGTATGTAAACCAGTTTGTCCAGAATGTGGTATGATTTATGGTGTTATAATTGGAGATCAGCCTCGTGGGGGTAAAATGATACATAAGCTTATTACCTCTCATAAATTAGAAGGATATAAAGATGCTGATGGTATTTTGGAGATTATTTATACTTTTAATGATGGAATTCAGCAGGTAAATAAACAATTATAAATGATAAAACAATTAAATTTTAGTTAAATGGAGAGAGTAATTTTTTCCCACTCTTTTAGTTAACCACACCTTTTACAAGTTTAGGAGGTATTGCCTTGTCTTATAAAATATCTTTTAGATAAGTCACCAAAAACTTTATCATTTCTGAGAGCTGGTAGTGAACATATTTTATCTTGCCTGACAAGCTATTTATATTAACCATAAATCTGCTCATTTGATTTTTTTTGGAGCTTGATCTATTGATTTTTCATTTTCTATTTTACAAGGATAATCATCCAAATCCTGGTCAACCATATTCTGGTTTGAGACGTAAGGCCTACTTACCAAACAATAAGGAAGGACAAGAGATATTACAGATGTTATATAAGGCCTTTGATGCTAGATTGATATTTACTATTGGTGAATCAAGAACTACTGGACAGACTGGTGTATTAACTTGGAATGATATCCATCATAAAACTAGCATTACTGGTGGTGCTCTAAGGTATGAAAAATAGTCAATAATAACCCTTTTACATTACAAAATTTATGCGTTCATAGAACAGAATGAATGAATTTTATGTTGAGAACGCCTCACTGCGCATGCCTCACAAGCGAGCATCACTTTTCTAGCGGAATATTATCATCATTTAGTGGAATTGCTGATTACATCAGGGAGACTAAAAAGGTCAATTTTAATTCTTTAAGAATATTTCCACAGATAACCGTGGTGAGAATGCTTTTCATTTACACTACAACTACACTCGATGTTACTGTAATATAAATGGGTACATTTTTATTGCCGCCTGGTCCAAACAGAGAGCGGAGTGTTTTATAGTGGCAGGGAAAAAATACATGGCCATCATCATATGAGAACATATCATACACATTGCATTGAAAAAAGCTTATTTTATTTTATTTAAGCCATGGTTATCCAGATCTAGGTTATTTAAAGAGAGTCCGAGAAGAATTGGCTTTAAAGGGCATAAAGAAATAGAATTATTGTGAGGAATAACATAGTGCCATTTTGATATAATTATAAGTTGTGATAATAATAATTGAAGTTTATACAAGTTTTATAGGATGATTAGCACTATACTATATAGTATTTTTTAGATTGATAATGATATTGATTTAACTTTTTCTGTTAGAGATATCAATGTTGTTTGTTGAAGTCTATTATCTTTGTATTTATTGATATGTTTATTTAAAAGGAATGTTGCAGTTGAATTATTTAATCATCTTGATTTATCCCTTTCATTTTTCAATAGTAAATCATTGTTCTGTATAGCAGTGGCCCTGAGTTATGTATATGTTGGTCGATTTCATTATTATTAGTTTGTGCTAATGCATATTGGTAAGGTCAGATGGTTAGTTATGCAAAAATTTAAAACTTTCATGAAAAGTACTTGATGTCTGACAAACTTTCACCACCTTTAAGCAATTGAAACAGAAATCCATTGATTTATTAGATTCTGAGAGATGAGAGATAATATTTAACTATCTTAAAGTATCATTAAAGTTTTCTATAAACCTTATTTATATAGCATTCATAATTGATTGCAATCATGTTTACCATCATAATTGATTGCAATCATGTTTACCACTAGGTTTTTCTTATATTAGATAGATCAATTATTTTTAGAGAGTCAATATAATTAAGTTGTGTATCAGGCACATGTTGAGATTATTTCTATCCAGAACAGTTCATTGTTTTTAGTTAACAATTTATAAAATACCAACGGAAGAAATAATAATTAATAAAACAATGTGTTCACCATCAGGAAAAATAACTCCTAGAATAGTTAAATCAATGATGTTTATCGGCTTGCTGTGTCAATTGGTCTTCACCTTTGTAAATCAAAATCATAATTTGATTGTCCTGAATGTATGGTATAAAAATACTAACAGCATTTTGACTAAATAATCCGTCCAATTTGTATATTATAGATTGCATATACTCTTATGTTTTTACCAAGTATATGTTTAATGGTTGGAGATACTGTTATATATGATGATTATATATTCAATACTTTTTGGTTACTCATTGGAATCTCATACTCCTGTTTTAACATTTCTCAATTTAACTGAGATAGACATATGTTCTTTATGAAAGCTAACATATGTTCTTTACGAAAGCTAACATATGTTCTTTAAGAAAGCTAACATATGTTCTTTATGAAAGCTAACATATGTTCTTTACGAAAGCTAACATATGTTCTTTAAGAAAGCTAACATATGTTCTTTAAGAAAGTTGACATATATTCTTTAAGAAAACTTGAAAAATGGAGATCGACTAGACCCAGGGTGAAAGTATGAAACAGCACCATATCACATATTGACATAAGAAACATTATGATGTTCACTACAAGGTTACAAATACTTTTTAGCTAGTTTTGTTTGATATATATGTATATGATATTTTAATTAGTGTAATTGGTTTTGTTTTTTACTTTGTTATATTTATTTATGATACAGTTTTAATTTCTCATTTCTGATATCTGTTAAAATCCGTTTTATACGCCCACATGGAAATGTGGACGTATATTGCCGTCGCCCCTGTCTGTCGGTTCGTCTGTCCACATTTCTTGTAGACGCGATAGAGAGATTTTAACCGATCTTGATTGAACTTGGTATGCATGTATATATTGATTAGATCTCAGTCAAGTTCAAAATTCGTAATAATCGAGTGAATGGTTTCCGAGTTATTGCCCTTTACATAGAAAAAACACGTCAAATTTGCCTTGTAGGCGCGAAAGAGGCTATATGTTTTTTCCTATCCTTATGAAACTTGGTTTACATGTATGTATTGATGAGATCTTGGTCAAGTTCGAAATTGATAATAATCAGATGAACTGTTTGAGAGTTATTGCCCTTGACTTAGTAAAAATGCGTCAAATTTGGCTTGTATGCACAATAGAGACTACATTTTTTATCTGATCTGGATGAAACTTGGTGTGCATGTATGTATTGATGAGGTCTCGGTCAAGTTTGAAATTCGTAATAATCAGAAGAATGGTTTCAGAGTTATTGCCCTTGACTTGGTAAAGACGCATCAAATTTTGCTTGCAGGCACAATAGAGACTACAGTTTTTATCTGATCTTGATGAAACTTGGTATGCATATATATATTCATGAGATCTCAGTGCAGTTTGAAATTCATAATCATCGGAAGAATGGTTTTGGAGTTATTACCCTCGACTTAGAAAAAACTCGTAAAATTTTTCTTGTAGTTGAGATAGAGGCTATAGTTTTTATCCGATCTTCATGAAACTTAGTATGCATGTATGTATTGGTGAGACCTCAGTCAAGTACGAAATTGATAATAATCGGATGAATGGTTTTGGAGTTATTGCCCTTGACTTAGTAATAACGCAACAAATTTCGATAGTAGGCACGACAGAGACTACAGCTTTTATCCAATCTTGAGGAAACTAGATATACATGTATGTATTAATAAGATCTCAGTCATGTTAGAATTGGTTATAATTGGATGAACTGTTTCAGAGTTATTGCCCTTGTGTGTACAGCGCCGAGACATTGTTCATGTTTGAATTTGATGATAATTTTATGAACCGATTCAGGTTTTTGCATTGACTTATAGGTGATTTTAAGATTATTTGAAATTTCATTATTAAGCAACTTAATATTTTGTTGTCATTTCTGACAGCTGGTAGTGGGCGTATGTTACCTTGCCTGGCAAGCTATCTTCTTTTCTTGTTAAGTATTTTTTATGGAATGAATATTTTATCATTTACTGGTGTGATAACATATTTTGTTTATGTTCAGAATCAGTGAAAAAGTGATTGTTATGATATAGTCGCCATGAACCAGTTTTCTTCCCCTCAATTAGGTTCCATGGTCTATTTCTTTTTGCTGGGAATGTATAGAGGTTTTATAAACTTTAATGTGTATTAGGAACACTGATTGTATCCAGAGTCTGCTGGTATTGGGATTGGATTAGAATGGTTTGTTGAAATGAAAAATGACATGTTTTTAAAAGAAGCTTGGATCGTTAATGAATATAGGTTTTGTATGATACATAATTAATTATATTATTTGGTTTGATAAAGTTTTGTAGGTTCATATACAGTAAATAATTTATTTAACTTAATAATTGTAATATGAGCTACATAAAAATATAAACCAGGCATAGTTTTGAAACTGAATCTTGAAAATTATTAATGTATCATACATTTTAAGAAGAAATTATTCATTAAAGAACACTCTGCTTGATTTGCAACTGACTTTCATCCCTGATTTCATTCTACAGCACAGCCAAAACTACACTTCAATGTATGTAGTCTTACCATTAATCAATAAATAGTTCTGTTCCCAGGTTCAAAACACGGGTTCTTAAAACGATATGAATTTGTAGCACTATGCAAATCGGGCCATGTATCTATGCGCCGTATTAACAAACAACATGTCATCCTTTGAATTAAATTGCTCCAAATAACAAAACTTAACTAGTTATAGAATTCATGAAAAAAAAAATAACAACTCGATTAAAATGTTTGGATCATATGATTGCAGATTGGGCCTAGTTCGATATTGCATAGGTTAATGGTCGAAAGCTTGTCAATAAGTCTAATAATGATCGTGATACGAGGACCGAAGGTTCTGGTACTACGTCATTATTAGACTATTGGTAAGCTTTCGACTATTAACCAACTTCAAATACAGTTCACAAACAATTACATCTATTCAGGCACGTGCTATAATAAAGGTCACATGAGGTCCAATCACATGCCAAACAATACAGACAGCATTTCAAAATGTCCGATTTGGGAAATACAAAAAATATACCTGTTCGAATGACATACTATTATTTCCTTATTGCATTGTCGTTCATTTCATTATAAATGATATGGATATGGATTCAAATGGATATTTTACTTATTTAATTTCGTATATCTGAACTGTGACTCATGGATTACAATTTGAATATTTTTTGTCTACAGGTCAGTTTTTTCCCTTTCCCCTCATTCCCTTAGTTATTGCCTTGGCTGTATCAAATTTGAAACATTAGTGTCTTTTATGAAGAGATTTTAGTGCCTTATTTCTGACAAAATCAGAATAATATTCTAATTCTAAGAATAAATCTTAGATCAATTATTATGACTAGTGTTCACATACTATTTGAAGCCAAGTCAACATTGAACACAATTATAAAACAGGTCACATTTACTTGGCAAAGAGTCCAATATTAAGAGTCCATTATTAATGTTAATATTGGACCCATGGCCGTTTGCCAGTACCATTATGTTGAATAATGGTACGCCGAGATCAAAGAGTGACGTCATATCTGTATTTTAAGTTTAATTATAGGAAATCAATGTTCCGAATCTGGTGTCTTTTGTGTAGGTCTTGTTGCAGAAAAGTAGGACGTAAAACTCCATTCATTTCATTTAACTTCTTGTAGAGTCTAGATGCCGATAATACGATTCAGTTCGAAGATTGATTGATTCTCATACAAAAACAACCTATAAGATATTTACAAGTTCATGTTGTGAATCAATTGATCTTCTGTTAAGTATCTGTCGGTAGTCGTAGTTGATCTTAAAAACCGTACAAGCCTGTATCATTAATGCCTGATCTATTAAATCTCTTGGTCTACTCATACCGCGACAGTGGCTATTTACCACTGGCGTGGTAAATGACCTGGCTGTTCATTACTGACCTGGTACCTGGTAAATGACATTGACTCTACTTTCAATGAAAAAGTTTATCTTCAGATATCTGGCAATGCCATGGTTAAACGCTTTGCGCCGTCATATGCAAATATATTCATGGCAGAATAAGAACGAGAAATGTCTCCACTTTGTCCATTACTTCTTCATTTTAATGTACGATTTCTTGACGATATTTTTATAGTTTGGACCCACACCATAGAAGAATTCTGGGAATATTTCGATATTCTCAATAATTACCACCCTTCAGTAAAACAACCAAAATTAGCGAAAACCGTATTGATTTCCTTGATAGGCTACGACA